CAACGTATAGCGCACAAGGCACTCACTGACTGCTGACCGACTGAGTCTGATCATTCCGACTGAATTGAGTCGGTTCCGGCGACTGGCTTCTTTCAATGGGCTCAAACCGAACCCTCCGATTGCGTCTGCTCTCAGGCTTTGCAGCTAGAGACGATGCGCGATCATGTTCTGTGGGGGTGGATCCCAGCTTCGTACGAGATGAGCGCGTAGGTTTCGAGGAGCCCGCAGAGTCTGAGGAGTAGGTCTCTCCCTCCAAACTGTCATACCATTTTTTGTAATCTCTGAAAATTTTGTTGCAGCGACGTTCAGCGGCTTTCCTGTCATACTGCGCCATTGTCAATGAAGGAACTCTGATGTAGTCGAGGATGAGGGGCTGTCAGGAAAGAGGATTTTCTGACATAGATTGAGGGGAAGGTCCTATCTGCCACTTGAAAACGTGCCGGCAGGAAATTTATCAGTGGCCACCCACTCGAGTAGTGCTGCATTCATTCATTCCCTGAGAATGGCTGAAGGTGGAGAATTGAGTTGAAAGTGGGGCTCTGCGGCTGGGGAAGCTTGCAAATATCAACGTTGAGCCATCCCCAGTGAATGTCCAATCTTCACAGCCGATGAATTGTACTGTACCTACGAAAACTTTTCATGCCTTTTCGCCTTCGGCCGCTCGTAGCCGCTAGGTATGCAGATTTATGGGAGAGATGATGGACTATGCTGTAATTCCGCAGAAAATATTTCATTTTTGCCGCCAGTTGAGGTGATTCAACATCTGTTGAAGTATGCGATCTAGAGTTTGCGGCTAATCTCACAAGGCGCCCCACTTCGAACCATGGCGTGTGTCGATCTAGGCGGGTCGCCCCCTTGGATCCATAACTTGGTAATTGCCTCATATGTTGAAGATGTTTAGGGTGAATCACCTTCCACAGTCGTTGAAATGAACGTTGAAAAGTGCAATAAAGTTTGAGAAATACCTGGCGAGAAGAAAATTCCTAGGACATTTGGTAGGCCGCTTGGATGGCATTACGGTATTAGTTGGTTCCATTTTGAACACACGAATGTATTAAGTGGAAATACTTCGTTAATGTTGTTCACTAGCTTCAACGGTTATACGCTTTACTGATATCTATTTACGTACTGGAATGCGGGCCGGCAGATTTTCTAAAATAGGTCTGCAACCTTGTGTTAGCTACGCCTGGCTTATCCTGGCGTCGGTGATGAGTTCAGTGTTGGGTCTACAGTAAAGCAAGGGCCTTTGTTTGTGCTGTCAGGCCGAAATGTCCATGCCTATCGGTTCAAGTAATCGAAATAGGGATTATTTCTCGGTGCTTGAAAAGGTAATTGTTGAGTCAACTTTGAACTGTGAACAGAAAGAATCGGGTAAACTCTGAAGCTCCGATCATTTCATTGATCATCGTCCAACCGTAGAGGCATTTCAAGGTCTTGACCTAGAATCCCGCTGAAAATTTGTTCGTCAATCAACGGTTTTTTAAATGATGCTATGTCCATAAACTCGTCACGGCTATTTCTACACTACATGGGCTTGACTTCTCTGGTGACAGTCTCAAGTTGGCATTCTAGATGCCACTCAAATTAACGGATATTGAACGTAAACATGATTTTCAACGGGCCGCAGATTTGGATAGCTACACTCACAATTATAATAACGGTTACCACTGCTAGTAGAAGTCAACCGGTGCTAACAACTATGTGAGGACAGGACAAGTCGAGATGTCTATAAATACCCTCTACTCCCCCGGCCCTTTGCTCTAGTCGTTCGGGCTTGACAGCGCCAGACACTATCAGCGGACAGGTGATGAGTTCTCCTTCCACTATTAATCACCCCTGGACTCTTCCATTATGCTGACACAGACAGAGCTCCTCATTGACGGATGAGTCAGTCAGTACCTTTGACACTCCCGCGCGAAGATACGCTCTTTCTCTTTATTGACCATCCGGTTATCATCTCGCATTGTCCTGTTTGAGCTAAGAAAGCCAACGAGAAGAAACTCGGGCTCCTTGACAAAAATCCAGTTCATTGGAAATGTCACGGCTGCCCAATCGAGTTGACCCCTTCGTTATCAAGACCCGCCTCGTTTTCAACAGTGCAAAAACGGGACTATGTTACAGGTATGTGCCTCGTTCCCCTTGTCTTGCCTGACACTAATCTCGAAAACTCTTTGGGCTGCCTAGAATTGTGTGCGTATGGACTGAATACACAAGTGCACGGTATGTGGAACTCCCAGTTCCCGATGGCCACCAATTGGTTAATGAATGGCAGCAAATCGCAAGTTGCGCCTTAGAATGGCATCGCAAGCGTTGACCGATGGCGGATCCCGATGTGAGTTCCGGAGCGCTCCCACACACTCCAACGCAACGACAAACCATTTTCAATGAACTTCGAACCGTCAATCGTTTCTCGCACCATTCGCAAAAGGACGATCCCGCGCTATGGAGACAATAGTGTGCAGATCACCACCAAGCAGCTACGATGGCTCGTCGACAACACCACTCGAAGCCCCGTCATAGAACCCACTAAATCAGAACTGGGGTCAAACACGAATAGCACGCCCTCAAAACTGTCAATGACAAGCGGAAGAAGAAGTGTGAGAGCATCGGAAGCAGATCGACGGGCTTCCCCTACTTCTTCCTTCTCGCGATCGCTGGCCGCTGTGGGAGCCAGCTCTGCGAATCTCGGACTGCGGTGAGCCACCGGCGACTTGGCAAAGACCGCGACTGTGTTCGATTTCCCCCGTTTATCTCCGAAACAGTGAAGACGAGGATAAGAATGCCTTCGGCCGATACCTCCTTTAGTCCTTGCTCCAGCAAACAGTCGCATCCGAGCGGCCTCATCGAATGCGGCCGCTACGCAGGATGTGCAGTGGCTTCCACTAGCGCCACGAAGACCGAGTATGGCACCTGGTTCGGATACTCGGGGTTGGCTGAACCCGCATCAACACGAGTTGTTACACGAATCGGGTAACAACACCAACGGCCAAAACACAATCGGAATCATTGTCTTTGATCGAGAAAGCGTTCAGGCGCAATCCATCGAGAAGATCCCTGATAAGAACGAGCTACTGGAACGAGACTTCTATGGTATGGTTGAAAAGAGGGGTAAAGCGTTTAGAATTAGGGTGGTTCGGCACCTGGTTCTGCTCAAATCGAGGCAACAGAATGGATCACGACAGACGCCTCTAGTAGGCTAGGGGATAATGGAACTGTTCATCGTGGTCACTAAATGGAAGAGGTCTATTCGTTGGTTCGCGATTCAGCCGCCTGTCCTGGTCACGTAAGGCAACACCGTGAGGTTGACACCACGCCAGTCAAATGAACGTCAATGCTGCCCGCCAGGCATGGGAACACAATAAAATGTATCGACAAGCATCCGCCAAAAGTCCTTCCGGTAACTCGACCCTCCTGAAATGTGAGAGCTGAGCGTATGAATGCTTCAGCTGCGCGTGACGAAATCGCGGGCAGGAATGGAGGCCCTCATTATCGATCACCAGACTCAGAAGCTGGATATGCCGGCTTATCCAAGGAACTATCGATCCCCGCGTACCTAAGGCATGTCCACCACAGTACGTTACAGGTGTCATAACAGACTGTGCAAAGCGGCTCGGTCCGATTTCGAAGCCTAATCCATGCGAACAGAGGGATCTGGACCTCGTCCCACCGACAGATCCTATGGACCTGACGGCAGTCGAGATCTGTGCAGCCGACTTCTAGATCCTTCTGGTTGAGTCTATCGTCTGTCAGTGTCGCTTCACGCCTCGGACGAGGCGTCAGCGGATTGGCGTGGCTAACCTTTGGGACACCGTTCTCAACCCCACTTGCTCGGCCAGGATCATTTCTTACCACCTAGAACATGTCAGTCGTGAGTCAACTCTTCCAATCCCCTAGCTAATGACTGGCAGTGTGGAATGAATTGGAAGAACGGTACCAACACATGGAGCTAGCCACGTTCTGCGAGCTGTTCGCCTAGCTTCGCGTGACCGCGGTTGCATCCGCACGCGGAGCACGCCATCAAGGCAGAGCGGGGTGCTTCCGGTTCACCAAGAAATTCAATGCAAGCCATACCACCAAGCCAAGAGGAAGAACAGAAGAGCCCGCCGACTTCCAAGAGGCCGAGGATCGATATCGTGATCGCGAGGGGGACGCCCCTTTACCCCCCTCTACACCCCAAACCAACACCACAACCGCCATAGACGCCGGATTCCACCGCCACTAGTCACACTTATTTGGGCCGGAACTGCTTCAGCAGCCTGCAATCCCACTAGGCGAGCGGTCCAGTGACAATATCGAAACGACGCAGCTTACACTCCAGTGGAAGTTCAACCAAGCAATGGTCTTGAACAATGTATATTTCGCTCCACGCGTCGGGGAAGTCTCTAGGCAAAATCTTTCGAACACCAACAATGAGCAACTAGCTGCCTTTGATTTGGAGCTGCCACTCCCCAGCGTCTAAAAGCACCACCCAACAGCTAATACTTATGAGGTATTGTTCGCGAGAGAGTACTCTCAGAAACAATGTGGTGCTCCGAGATAGTGACAAACGCCATGTCAATTGCCAATCAGCTTCAAGTTGATGCTCCTACTTGTCAATTGCGGCGAAGGCGGCCTTGGCTGGGACTGCCAAAACCATTACGGTCTGGACGTCCGCCGCGACCGCCGCCAAAGCCGTCTGAGTTCCGGCCACGCTTAGTGCTAGCCGCAATGCGTCGACTGATCGCCTTGGATGAGAGGCCAGCACCAATTTCGATGTCTGGCTCCTCGACAACCATTCCGAACTCAATGGGGCGACTTCCGGTGCCACCATAATCCGCCGTGAGTAGCCATTTGCGATCCGCATTGGTGAGTCGCTCGATTGGAATGACACTGATGCTAGTCTGATAGTCGCTGCAGTCACGCGGGCCGAAACCAACGCCCTATCGGGTGCGGAGTTGCGTCTCGCCTGAACGGAACTGGGCGCTCACTGCGTCCTCGCGGCTAATCATCTTAATGAAAGCATGACGCTTGTCGATATTGACAATACAGGTCTGAACGATGCCGAACTTGTTGAAAAGGGAACGGAGGTAAGCCTCAGAGGAGATGCCACTGACGAAGAGGGTGCGGCTCAGAACCTTGATGTTACCCGGGCCGATGGAATAGTCCCACTCGACGAGCTTGGAGCCAGGCGAGGGGAGATTATGGTCTGTCCGCAGCGGGGAATGAGACAGGCGCTTCCAGTGTGGAGGGCTACGTTTACGGTATTCGTTACTCTGACGACCTCCAGCATCGCGAGGATCACCCTGGCGCCTAGTGGAATCACTGTAATACTGGTCGTGCACCGGCCTATCGTGGCGGCGAGGCGGCGAGGAAGAGTGACGTCGGTCTCAACCGGGAAGGTGAGAAGGACGGCCGTACCCAGCGGGAGGAGAGCTAGAGTGGTCACGATCCCTCCTGCGAGCACGATCGACACGGTTCTGCACGTCCGGGTGGCCCTGGCCACTAGAGCCCTGGCAGGGTATCGCGCTAAATCCAGGAAGCTGAGCGGGGCTGCCAGCACCTATGGTATCGGTTATGTTGACGAGTTGCAGGGCCGCAGCCCACTGGTCCTGCGAGATGCCCTGCTGCGACAGTAATTGCAGCAGCGGAAGATGCCGGGATATCGCGTTTCTATCTATCGCCGGAGCGGCGGCTGGCCACTGCGGAAGCATTGCTTCTAATGGGTTCGGAGTCTGGCTATGGCTCTGCAGCTGCGGCATGGCAAGGTTCTCGCCAACACCACTAAGAGCGGCAGATGGTTTGACCATGGCGCCAGCACTAGCACCAGCACCTGTGTATGGGTTAGCCGTCGAGGGTGGCAGGAGAGATGAATCGACAGATGAGGCGAGATGCAGAGCCGCGGCTGATCGGGTCAGGGTAGCGAGGGGGTTGGTGGGAGAAGTAGACATCACCGCGCTCTGTTTAGCTATATCGGCCAGCGGCTTGAGTTCGCCGATGGTATCTGTTGCCGCGGGCGAGCTATTGGCAAGCTTGAAGCTGCGCGGTGAGCCTTTGGACGTGGTGGACTGAATATCTATGAACCATGCCAGAAGCGATTGAATCAGAAGACGATGAGGGTAAAGATCCAAAGGTGGATACTTACTATGTGGTGGAGCGTTCAGTTTCTCGCGGAATGAGTTGAGCATAGAGGGCGGGGAGGAGCAGCAGCACTCCCAGATGTCGACAAGCTTCTTGATCTTTTCCTACAGAGTCCAGAAAGGCATACGTGAGCCATGAGATCCGCGAAAGCAATAAAAAGCGCAAATCGTGCCAACACAATGTCCAAGGTTGAGCGGTTGTGGGAGAATACGGCCATTAGACGCGATTAGCGCCAAGAGGCCCAACCCAGCCTGAACATTCACGCCAAGTATATATTTACCTTTTGATCCTGCGGTGCGTTGTTGGTGATGTCGGTCATAAGGACGGGCAACAACTTGGTCATTCGATCGACGCCACCAGCGAAGGTCCCATCCGGCGCGGCGCTTCGTGGAGGCCGGCCAGCCTTGCGAGTGGCGTCTACCCAATGCCGGGCTATAGAGTCTACCATATAGAGAACGCCTAGCTTGTGGGTGCCGGGCGCCTTCTTGAAGTGGGTGTAGATCTTCTGGATGAGAACGGGTTCATCCTGACGTGCAGGGTTAGCCTCGCATCAACTTCATCTCAACCATTTCAACAATCACATGTCTCGGGAGTAGGGGAACGTGTCGTACCTGAAAATTGGCGGTGCAGAGTCTGGTGATACCGTGGACCTTGGAGCCCGTAATCCCAGGTGGCTTAAGAGCCAGCATGGACTGAAGGTAGCTCTCCAGCGCCACTACAGCCGACGACATGATAGGCTGGCGCGGGTCTCCGCGAGCAGCGTTATCGTCCCAGCAACGTCTCCAACAGCGAGGATCCATGGTGTTCCCACGGACAGACGGTGCTGTGCGACTTTCTGAAGGCAGTCTGCACCGACCAAAGAGAATCCCGGAGAAAACGACGGCCAGAGTTCTTGGCTACTGCAAAGCGAGTAGAAGATAGAAAAAGCCATTTATCCAGGGAGGAGAAAATCTGTGAAGCCCTTAAATGGTTTATTTGCGACCCATGTTCCCTTGAGCACGAAATATCTTATAGTGGATGGCTGCAACTCCTTCAAATTACAGCACAAGTATATTCATTGTCGAACCAGAGAACCTGCCGCCTCCAGCTGGAATACACCACTAGCGAGGAGAGAAGAGGAGACTGCGCCGCGAGGGGGTGGTTGCGGGGGTTGGCCGAAATGAAACCGTCGGTCGCTTGAAGTACGAGGCGTATGGAGGGAAAACCTATCGCGTATTGTAGAAAGCTCTGTCGTCCGGCCCAGAAAGTGGTGAAACGGCGACGGGGATTATAGTGTAGGAAACTCGTGGACGAGGCGCATTGAGAAAAGTGACGGAAAAAAAAGATGGACGAGGATAGGCGACATATGAAACGAATGGATGACAAGCGGAAGACGTGAAACGGGAACACTTGCAGGGCTAGGGCGGTAGGCAGGCTTCAGTGTAGGCGCACCAGAAGGGCAAAGGGGGCCGTGTGGGTCCAGGTGAGGGGACACTACCACGTGATAGGCATTCAGGGTTCACGCGTCTCTTACCCGTTACACTTGCTCCATAAGACTCTCGGGAACTGTACTTGTTCACGAAGTTCATGAGTACAACAGTTCCTGGATCGTCCGTATCTCAAGATGGAACCCGCGGAGTATTGCCAGCAAACCGAGAAAGAGAGCGCGAGTGATCTCGAAGGCTTCTCAGCCACCATGCTCCAGCTCTCACTCTGGAAGCTTTACCAGAGTGGAGATCATACTGACCTTGATGTGATTTGTGGAGATCGGGTGTTCAAAGTTCATAAGGCTATCGTGTGCTCTCAGTCGTCGTTCTTTGCTGCTGCTTGTAGTGGATACTTTAAGGTTAGTATATACGCTCGAGGTCTCCGTACTTCCCACGTTGATCTCATACTAGGAAGGTGTTGAGGCAAAAGTCGACCTCTCTGATGACGCACCTTGCATACTCGAGCGATTCTTCCAGTTTGTCTACCTAGGAAATTACTCCGATGGGGAGCATTTCGACGACCTCCCTGCGGTGCCTGCCCTACTGTCTTCAATTGAGGTCAGTCAAGAATTCGAGAAGACCTGTAAGTAACCATCCTTGTCGCAAGATATTTATCATATCCCTTATTATTAATAAGTTGAATTTTCCACTCCGATATGTGCAGATACACCGGAAGACACTGACTTCAATCCCGAGGAGTCACCTGCGAAACACCAAGCGTCTGAGCCCTTGGAGTATGATTCAGATTTCTCCCATGCTTCATTGGATAAATGCATACACGAGGATAATTACCTTGTCAAGTACCCAATCGGACTTTTTACATCTCTCCGGATGTACTTGATCGCCGATAAATACGGCGTCCCTGCTTTGAAACTTCTCGCAGGGCAAAGATTTATAAGAACGGCCATATTACATTGGACCACATACGAAGATTTTCCTGCAGTCATTGATGAGCTCTTCTCCTCAACACCTTCGTCAGATCGCCTTCGTCATTTCATCTACTCCCTCATTGCTGAGGACTATCGTTCTCAAGCAAGTCTCAGAGAGCGTCTCAGGCCGTTGGTGGAGAAGCATGTTGGCTTTGCAATCGGCCTACTGGATTGCCTGGTTGCTCGGAATTGCTGATAAGAACCGGTACAGAGTCATTGGACTTGGGTGGCGGATGGGAGGAATATGCAGAGACTACCTTTAGTCTAGAAGAACACTTGGCTGCCCATGATATACTGAACAAAATCTATTCCTTATTTGAATATAACAGGAATATTAGTGACTATTCTGAGCTTGTGAGTCTGGGAATAGCGCTTTCATCAAAATGAAGCATGACCGTCCCCTCGACAGTGTTGGGATCTCGCGAGATATGTGGGATGTGCGAAATAGCAATACAAAGCGATAACTAGTTAGTTAGCTACCGCTGTCGTGTATGTGTTGAAGAAGGGTGAATGCTCTAGGCAGTCTGATCAGAACAGACAGGTCGAGTCACAGGAGAAGAATACCACAATCCACACGCATGCGCTAAGAAGCACAGGGAACGACCTGTGAAATCTGTTAATTCGGCAGAGACCTCATGAAGAGGAGAATCAATCAGATCGAGAATGCAAATCATTAGAAAAGAGTGTAATACGTTGTTAAGAGAAAGTGTCAACTGTGTGTCGGGAAAAAGATAAGAAGCACCAAACCAAGTCGCTGCCTAAGAAATGAAAAAGCTACACTCGATTAAAGACTCAACTTTGCCGCAAGAGGACGCGTTTGGCTGACAAAGTAATATGTAGCGGGTGTTAGCCAAAAATGAAGTCGAGATAACCGTGTATATTCAACGAAGGTAACAAGTCTGAAGAGAAAAAGAAGAAAAAGAAGGCAAGCCAGAAGGAGAGAGTCTAAGGTCACAGCAAGCAGGCAAACATCCCAAACCCTAAACAGATACCTTGGCACTAGGCACGTAGAATGAAGTTGTTCCTAGGGTTCAGCTAGAACTGTCACAGCGGGTTTAGAACAAAGAGCCCTCACTACGGCATTTGAATGCTGTTCCAGCTCACTAAAGGTTCTGGCTCACTCTTCGCCGTTTCAGCTTGCCATCGTCCTTCTATGGTGAGTTGCAATAAGTTTGAGTCCTCTGCACTCCCCGTCCGACATGCACACGATTGGTAGACAGATCTTGGGTGCGCCGTTTCTAGGGCTTTTATTGTCCGAGCTTAAAGGAAAGCTAAATCTATTGGTTGGTTGATGACGACTATTTTGGCTTGGCGATTACGGTTCCAATCAACAATCCAGGTGGGGGAGGATCGAGGATAGGTCATACTTGGACCCACAAGTGAACTGGTCACCTAATACAGAGAGAGCCCTCGGTATTGTTGCTATTACGTACGGTTGATTATTAGCCAATAGTGATGGCGCGGGCTCCTCCTGCTTGTCATCCCGTAAGGTTTGGATAGGTTACAAGATCGGTGCAACGATCACTCCGTGCTTCTACTCCAGATCAAAGTAAGCAATTTTCGTGGCTTCCTTTATATCTCGCCCAAGCCCCTTGGAGGGATCCCTACTGTTGGCCATCGGCGTGCCTTGAACATGGCCGACCAGACTATCGCGGTTGTGCGTCGGGGTTACTGTAACCCAAACTCTTCGAGTCCGCCCATCTTTCTTCTAACTCGCTATTATCAGGATCCGGGATCTGTCCCTCACCGATAGCACAAATGGCCCTGAAGATTGGGAGTTGTATGTAACTTGACAGCATGACCCTTGTCGAAATGATCTGATATTGAACATTTCCTAGGCAGACAAATTCGATCGGATCGTCGATTTATTGGGGCCTAACGGAAATAGCAGGCAGTAAGATGTGCGTCAACATTAGTGTCCGCTTTTGAAGTTGACATCACTGTTGGCGAAAGAGGTCCGATGAATAGCGAGAAGTGCGAATACTGTCTGATCCTCCCGGACTGAGTGCCGAAAAATCCACTCTCCTTCCTTTGGGAGCCTAATCAAGAGTGCCCGGATAGGTGTAAGGCCACCTAATAGCTCGAAATAGAGCTGAAGGCGGATGTTGTAGATATCTTTAATACGAGCGGAGGTAAAAACTTGTTGGTAGACGCTTGTGATAATCTTCTCAGGCGTGGTTCCTTGCGAGATCTGGGTCCCAACTATGATATAAATCGCTAACGCTGACGGCGGCGTGGTACTGGCACAGCTGAGGCTGGAATAGGGCCGTGCTTATGCCTGTGCTGCTGCACGCGAAGGGTCCAATCTCCAGTGGGCTGGAGGCGAATGACAGCCCGCCATTGACACTTAGCCTTTGTGTAGGACTCTCTCTTTGGATGACCTCGAGCTTTTGGTCGGTTATATCCACGATCGCAGCGAAGATACACCGTCTTCAACGCGCGATTTCGCCTTTTCTTAGAGTTTTTGATCACCGCTCCGAAGCCGCTGCCAGATAAGCAAGCCTGGTCATTGATCCAGTCTATAGCAGCCAAATACGTAGGCCAGGTGATATCTGGGACGAGGATGGCATCGTCGGAGGCATCGTCGGGGGCTTCGATGGGGGCTTCGATGGGGGCAGCAAGGTCGATCGAGGGCATAAAGATGGCCATATCAAGCTCGGCAAACACAGGCAAGAGCGTATCGTCGAATTGGGTGCTTTCCATGGCGATTGAGGGCCAAAAAAAAGGCCAAAATTGGGTTGTAGAAGGCTGCTTTTACTACGTGAATAAGAATGTGGGAAGTTCATTAACACTAGTTTCTCAGTAGGAGACAGACCTTCATCTGCTGCCACAGTAATTTAGCTGTAGCAGGATGTACCGCTGTCACAAAAGGAGGAAATGGGGAGTAATTTTAACGTTCCCTAATGTTAACAACTCGAGTCCGCAGAAATGAATTCCACTAGTTTAACTTTCTGTCCTATTTTATTATTAGATTTTCCCGGTTGATATACACCAGTTCTGCGCAAGATAATATCAAGCAGCGAAACTTGATGGTGAGATGGTGAGATGGTGAGGTGGTGAGGGTTAGGAGCGAGTTTATTCACAACGGTGACAAGTGAAACATTTAAACGTTTAATCTTCGATTGTTCAACGGTGAGTTCCAATAAAATCCTAAAGCCCTTTTTGACGATCCATGGTACGCGAGATGATCTGCAAAGGTCAGGAGTATGACTTAGCCCGCGCCGGAAGGGTTGGTGTCAGCGCTATCTTCTCCATCTTCACCATCTTCACCATCTTCACCATCTTCACCATCTTCACCATCTTCACCATCTTCACCATCTTCACCATCTTCACCATCTTCACCATCTTCACCATCTTCACCATCTTCACCATCTTCACCATCTTCACCATCTTCACCATCTTCACCATCTTCACCATCTTCACCATCTTCACCATCTTCACCATCTTCACCATCTTCACCATCTTCACCATCTTCACCATCTTCACCATCTTCACCATCTTCACCATCTTCACCATCTTCACCATCTTCACCATCTTCACCATCTTCACCATCTTCACCATCTTCACCATCTTCACCATCTTCACCATCTTCACCATCTTCACCATCTTCACCATCTTCACCATCTTCACCATTTTCACCATCTTCACTATCTTCACCAACACGGTCAACACGGTCAACACGGTAATAGTGTCGACAAACATCCTAGTATCCGTGAATTATGTGGGAACTATCGACGTGAAATCGGCGTGAACAGCCGATCGATTGGTTCTAATACTGATGGGCTACTGTGATCTTATTGTCTCCTTTCGATAACAGAACATGGTATGTATGCTCTTGCTTCCCGTGTGGTTTGAGGGTTTCTACATAGTGCTATCCTTATATTGGAATTCAGTGAGGGCTTACAAGATCTGTCTCTACATTAGGACAAGTCAGAATCGAGAATTTGTCTTCATTGCAATGCTATCGACTTCCACCATGGTTCGGGCTACATTGTGTACCCAAAGATGGGGCGTGCAGGTCTTGGCTTCTTTAAGCGCCGAAGCGTCACTTGAATACTAGTCCCTAGCACCACGGAGAGGTGCCTGCATGTCGCTAGAGGATCATGGTGAAGACCTTGGGCCGTAGGTCCTACCCGATCGAGCACACTTTTTCAAACACAGGGCTTATTGTTTGTGAGGGAGGATGTTGGTAATGCAGACCTCAAGCTGCGAGGATTTTGTCATCATAGACCCTAGACTGCGGAGTTCACTTGTTATCGTGGTTGGTCGATAGATACAGTAGCCAAGAAATAAGCCTCACTTCCCTGAGTCTTCCTTGTTAGAATTGATAACCCTACCTGTTAGATTGTTCGTTTTATGAAGTTGATTTTTAACGTTGACAGCGAGACTCTCTTAGGCGATGTGTTAGACAACGGTGATGGTGTTCGACCACTGCTTTCCTGTTACCCGCTCGAGCCTACACGCTTGCATAAACATCCACATTCACAGTTGTGACTCAACAGAGCCTACAAAGTCGCAGTCACACAAGCGATTTTGCCATTTTGCTCGAGGAAAAGGAGATCGCTCAATGTCTTCAGGCACAGCGACCAGCTAAGGATTGCTTGGCCTCTCTGGACTGCCTCACCTCTACACAGTACTGTACCGTATACGAAGTATCATGAACGGACTGCAGTGTTTTACATGAAGAACTAATCACATGACGGTGATTTTACTAATATTGTGTTGAAGCTCATTTGTGGATCATGCAATCGCCTCTTATAGAACCTAACCGATCTGGACTCTCCGCACCTAGAAACTCGCTCTCACATAAAGACAATGATAAAGAGGGCTTGCTATATCACAAAATAAACTACACTGTAGAGACAGAATAATCACCAGGGATCCGAAGACAGCCTCACCAATACCTCCGTAGTACATCATGCCGTAGTATGGGAGGTGGCTCGCACGAACGTCAAACTCTTCAAACAGGGTCTGGTAGCCACGAATGGAATTAGCCACATAACCCCCTATGAAGAGCACTACTACGCTCAGTATTAATTGAGTACAGGCAAAGTAAATTGCAGTGGCCTTGTCATCTTGTAGGAGCCGCGGATGGGCCATGAGGACAACCCCAAAAATAGATAACAAAGCCGATGGGATGGCCGCAATGACCATGCAGTCGAAGACTTGGGTCATGGTTTTTTCGAAAGACATGGGTAGCAAGGGATCCTTGGCTCTTATGTAGTCAGATCTTGCGTAATCCCGTAGAGTGATCCAAAAGTGTGCTGTTGCTGAGCTGAAGCTAGCTATGGATAGCCAGGCAATGGCGCAAAAGAGAACCAGAAGACGCAAACGAATGGCGTACCCCGTACAGTAAGTAGCCATAATGAAACCACCAGATTGTTTCCCCGGTCTCGATTTTTAAGGCGAGTCTTTTCCGATCCGCAAAGAGAATGAGAGTAAGAATGAATACTATAGGAATACAGCGCATACAGTCTGTGGTCACCCTTATTCCCCGCTATATTCTTGCCTACACATGGCGACTCGGTTTGTTAGTACATGAAACAGCCAGGGCATTATTGTTGGCATTCTCCGTACTAGCGCTGACCTGGTCGAAATAGTCTTCTCCGGCGCGCTGTTCGTTGAAGAAGAGTATTCAGGCGGAGGCGTAGGCAGTATATCTTGAAAAGGAGGAGGCTCGAAAGAGGGATCCCGCAATGAATACATACGTAGTGGGGTACTAATATTTATATAGTCGTTGTTTGGATTGTTGTGGGTGTTCCACAAATCCCAACATGGAGCTGACCGAAAGAGCTGTGAAACTTGCTGCATCTGAGGCCGAATATGTGTTTGCTGGACTAACCAAGTCAGGAATTGGCGGATTTCTCCTTACAGCGGCAGCCCTAGTACACCCACATTCATGTACCTGAGAGACTATCGGGTAATTGGTACAAGATGAATATGCAGGAAGATCAATGTAGGATTGCGCAGCAAGACAGGAGAGGATACGGATCGGACAATGCACAGTAATGGCAAAGTGATGCCAATTGGCAGGTTCTTTCTCGTAAACCGTAGACATGTACATCGTTATCTGTAATAGTCAGAAACTTTCAGAGCAGCTTTTCATGCTTCTCCAGCCACGTAACATAAAACAGAGCAAGTCACTATAATCGGGCAAATGAATGGAATTACTCTGCTTTATTTGGTATGCGCTTACCATAATCCGATGAGAGATTTCGATGCTTTCATATGTAGCGTCACAACGCAACTTTTGCATTTCATCCTTACCCTTAATAGATTGGCAGTTAGGGATCTGCACATTCAATTCCATTTCAATTGGCCCAGCTTGACAGCCATCGCTGAGATCACCCAGCAAATTGTTCCGGTTGTGATCAACAAATTCCTCTCCTGCGATAGCAGCCGCTCGATCGTTCCAAGGAATGCCACCACCGGCGGTGACTCGCGTCGAGTTCCCTGAATAATTGTTGGAACTTGCCGAATGCGCCGTCTTCTCGAAAAGTAAAAACCTTTTACGCGGCTCGACATGATGGTTAGCCCTGCCATGAAAATGTAGATTTTCCAACACCCAGACTTGGATTCGACGGCAAGTAATTTTCGCGAACGGGATGAGTTTTATGGCGATAGGTATCTGTGATCCCAGAGGGAATGATTTTCCAAAAATTGTGATATTGTAATGGAGTTTATCCTTCCAATCTCTTGATATCGCAACTGGCTCAACCTGTTCTAGGCATTCCCCAACGGGGCTCCGGATGAAGGGGATATATCGAATGCCAGACAGGTTTGACTGGAACGCTCCTGAGTGTTCAACGACTGCTTGAAGGAGCCATCTGACAGAAATTATCTCGTTTTCTATTGTTTCAGGGTTATGTGAATCGATCAGTTGTTCAAAATCGTATGTATAATCGCCGGGAGGAAAGAGTTTGTAGCCGCGGTGTAACCTCGAAACCCCACGGGCCCAGGGCTCGCAGTTACCAATCCCACAAGCATGTTTGAAATTTGCTTGTAGTGAGAAGTCCATCGCCTCTTTATTATTGTGGTTATGATTTATTGTCGCAAATTGGGGGCTTGCAAATTTAAAATTATTTGCATTGTATTCGATGTTTGACATCGAAAGTCCCTCATGTGCACCTGCAAGGAATACCGGCCAGACGTGCTTGTTGAGCTCTTTTACGTTTTGGACTTGTGACTTCTTTGGAAGAATCCCTAGATATCAAACCAACACTTAGTGCGCTGATAGGAAACGTCGAAAAGTGGCAGCAGCTATCACTTACCGTTCGGTATCTTCTTCTGTGCGACGCCCTTGAACACGAGTTCAACTTTCTTTATTTTGACAGTCCTCGTCAATCTGAGTCGCAAATGTCCACTCAGCATGACTGATCTGGTATCAGCGGGGTCAAAGTGTGGCAAGTACACGACCGGTTCAGCCAGAGCCAACGCGACCGTAATTCCATGGGCGCTGGTCGCGACCTCCTCGTCGCGCAGGAATGGGATAGCGGATGCAGGAGTTGAACTCATCACCCATGAGTTTCTATTCGAGTCCGAGGAAGGTCTTGCGCCATCCTCAGCCATATTTCGCTCCGTAACCGACCCTATTTCGCTTGTTGTCTGTGCTAGGATATCTGTGATGTCGTCTGGTGGCGTTCGGTCTTTCGCGTATACCGGTATGTTGTAAGGGTTTGGGCAGACATCGCCAAGAGGTTGCTTGAAATATCGGTGGAGTCACCCCAGTTTCCCGAGACTACGCAGCTTCCCTGCTCTGGTTGGGGGGCTCTTTTGTTTCAAGTTTGACGACAAAATATCCTAGTTCCAACGTAACGTGGGTCTGTGTCTTCTATGAGTATTGATGAAGGCAATTAGATATTTGGGAGTGATATGAATGACGTCATCAGACTGCGCATGAACTGAGGGTTAGATCTAGACCACGATAGACCGCGAGTCTCAAGTCATATGATAACTCGAAAAGCTCTTTGCTGGCATGGTGATTGTCCAAACTAACCGGCCCTTTCTTAAATAACCGACAACTCCTTCCCTCAACACTAGTCCATTCAGATATCCTGTGATCCGTTGACATAGTTGAACAGCTTTCGAAACGAAATCTCTCCCCAGCAGGGCCGGCAGGGGCTGTGGGTGGGCTGACTAAGGCACTGTTAACTAACGTAATCCACAAGCGAGCGGATAACACAAGCGAGCGGATCACCCCATCCAAAATCGCGTCTTCCTTCTACCCTACCTAATTCAACCACCTATCATGCCACCAATTCGCACTGAATCTTCGCAAAATTCGGCCAATCAAGAGGGCAGGATCCTATTAGCCCTTTCTGATGTCAAATATGGTCGGGTCAAATCTTATCGCGCAGCAGCACAGCTATACGATATACCCTACGCTACACTACATGCTGTTGTAATTCAAAAGGAAGCTTACTTGTTCTTATTTCTGAGGGGATACAAGAGGCTATATATACAACATGAAGTCCAAGTTGATTTCCAATCAACTTGGTCTTCGTATAGATGGACAGGAATTATTTCCGATGTTGCGGCTTCGTTCCTGAGCAGCAACTGCCTCATATCACAACATTCCCCCTCAGGATCGCCTTGCTGGCGAGGCGGTACTGAATACATGCACATCGGTCAGGCCTCGGCAAAACCACTCAAAACCTCAAAGAGGAGAAATAGTGGAAAGAGCGCCATCGCGGTTACACATTTTCCTTTATGAGTTCTTCCGTGTCGATACCTAAGAGGTTGCAAAACTTGGTGAATGGAGAGGGTCCCAGAGGCTTGGTGAGTCCATCAGCGGCCTGTTCCGCGGTAGGAACGTATTCGAGACTAATTTCTCCTGTGTTCAGAACTGCTCGCTGATAATGGAACTTCACATTGAAGTGCTTCGTCCGTTTGTGAAACTCAGGGTTGCGGGAAAGTGCAATGGCAGATTGATTGTCAGCCATGATATTGGTCACTGGTGATTGGAACAGGTGCGTTTCCGCCAGAAACGTGCGGAGCCATTGTAGGTGAAGGATGGCGTTGTATTGGCCAATGTACTCGGCGTGGGTCGTGGACGTGGCCACTTCCCCTGTCTTTTGGACGACCAGGAAACTGGTGCTCCGGCAAGTTTGAACACATAGCCAGACGTGGAGTATGCACCGTCAGTGACGACGGAGCCACCAAAGTCGGCATCTGTGTATCCGATCAACTGCCCGCTGCGGTATGTGATGCGGTAGAAGTGCGTGGCTTTGATATAACGCAGCAGTCTCTGTAGTGCGGCCTGATGATGCAGTTGCGGTCGGGATATGAAGCGACTCAACGTCCCAAGCGCAAACGCGATATCAGGGCGTGTTCCGACTATGAGATACATCAACGACCCGATAGCGGACCCGAACCGTGATTTGGCGTCTTCGTCTAGCTCGCTTTCTTCCGGAATGTAATTCAGGAGAGCTTTTGGAGCCATCGGTGTAGACTTCGGTTGACAGGACTCTATGCAAAAGTCGGAAAGGACCTTTTGGATGTATTGGTGTTGGTGGATCGAAACACCTCTATCTGCGTGGAACTCGAATTGGATTCCGAGGAATGAACACGGGGTTCCTAGGTCGTTTAGCTTGAACTCCGATTCCAGGGCTATTCGAAGTTGCTGGATCTCGGCGTCGTCCGCTGCTGCGACTAGAAAGTCATCGACATACACGCAGACGACACAATTAGGCGTATAGAAGACACAATTGTCGGACTGGGCTATGGTAAACCCGTGAGCCACTAAGACGCGGTGAACGCACTGGTACTAGATCCGTGGTGCCTGCTTCAGTCCGTACAAGGAGCGTTGAAGACGGCAAACGTATCTATCCTCTTTAAACCCCTCTGGCAGCTCTATATAGATGGCCGAGTCGACATCCCTATGTAGGAAAGCAGTGACGGTATCGAATTGGTGGAGTTTCTATCCGCGCAGCACGGCACTCGTAACGATGCTGCGGACGGAATCTATGCGGGATACAGCAGCGAAAGTTTCGTGATAATCGATGCCTTGTTTCTGTCGGTAGCCTTTGATCACCAGTCGTGCTTTCCGGATTCCATTAGCCTTGGTCTTGAATACCCACTTACAGCCAATGATATGATTTCCGGCGGGAACTTCTTTTCGTGGAACCTTTTCCTATGTTCTATGCTCGAGAAGAGACGCATATTCTTTCTGAATGGCCGCCCACTATTCCAACTGATTCGGTCCCGACACAGCGTCGTTGAAGGTTGAGGGATCAACGTCTTTTGCAGCGGTGGTATCTAATGTCCCTGTCGCATACACCTTGCCTAGCGACTCCAAGAGACGCCTGGAAGGTCTTCGTCTTCGGCTATACAATGAATAGCTAAGGTCCTGTGTGGCTTGTGTTTCGCTAGGGATTGGATTGACCGGTGAAGGGACATCGACCGGCTGAGAAGGCACATTATCGACTGGTTCAGGAGGCACGTTCTCTGGTCCGTTAGGAGACGGAGGCGGCGTAAGCGGCGTGCCAGATGGAGGCAGTATTGGTTCAGGAAAGACAGGTGATGGAGGAGCGTTGTCCGGGAGGTCGTTGCCTGTTTCCCCCTCGATGAACGGCGCCACGGGGGTCCTTTCATCGAACTCGACATCACGGGAGAAGACTGTCCGTCCAGAGTGTACTTCGTAAAGCTTGTACTGGTTGGGTTCGCAGTAACCGAGCAGTCGGCATTCAGACGATCGTGGTCCGAGTTTCCTCCGATGCTCTTTTGGAATCAATACCCATGCGCGGGAGCCGATCCGTCGTAGATGCAACAGCTTGGGTGGCTTCCCGTAGAGGACTTCGTATGGTGTCTTCTTCTGCAGGATTGATGCTGGCGCGCGCAGCTTCAGATATACTACCGTCTCCAAGAGCTCGGGCCACCAGGAAGGAGGAAGTTTCGCGTCGGACAGGAGCGTGTTGATCCGCTCCCGGATAGTGCGATTCGTGCGCTCAGCCAGTCCGTTCTGCCCTTTGCAATACGGCGGCGAGGTATCAAACTCCACTCCCTGGGACTCGAGGTGTGTTCCGATAGGCAGGTATTCTCTTCCGTTGTCGGTAAGGAATCTTTTGATCCGGGCGCCGAACTGTCGGTGCACCCAGGCCTCGAATTGTCGGAACTTCGACAGCGCTTCATGCTTCCATCTCATGGCATATGCCCACGAGCCACGGGAATAATCGTCAGTGAAGGTGATGACGTACCTGGAGCCATCTTTGGCAACTGGCATTTCCATGATGTCCGAATGGATCATTTCAAAGATTCTTGACGAGTGCAGACGTGGCCGTCTTGCACGGGAGTTCCTCTTCTGATGCTGCTTACCCGACATACACGCCGGGCACTGCGGCGTTGCCAGCAGTTCTGCCCGGGTTAGCTGTCGGTACGGAGTGCCGGTCTGACGGAGGACCACCCTTAAGTCTCCCCGATTCAGATGTCCCATCCGAGCGTGCCACAGCGCTTCGGTGGCCTGGTCCACTCCTGTGCTCTCATCTTCTTCGAGTATCCGAGCTTCACCACCGAGTTCAGAGGTTGGCGATGCGTATCCTACGCCACTTGACTCCTGAGGGTCGTCGACATCCATGGCCACCGCCTGCGGTTCCAGGGAATCTGCATGCCTACGGTTTGTCGGCGCCCTCGCCAGTTGGACTCGCTCTCGGGATCTTTGGCTCACATAACACCGCAGGATCAACAGATCCTCCTCCGTATGGTAGGCGGTCCCCACCGTTCGTCCTCGGCGTTGCACAAAGACGTTCTGTGGGTGCGCCACCACCGAGTAGCGGTCTCGTAATAGCTTCGGCACGCTGATCAGGTTCATCCCGATGCGTGGCGCGAAGTAAACATTCTTTAACACAAGGAGGTGTTTGAACTTCCCCCGGAGCGTGAGATTCACCGTACCAATCCCTTCGGCTTCCACTGGATCGCCCGCCGTGTCTAGTATCTTATGGTGGGGCCGCAGGCTACTAAAGCAGCTTCGGTCCTAGCAGATATGGCTAGTGGCGGCGGAGTCCAGGATCCACCGGGGTTGCGGCGCGTGGGTATAAAGGGTCGTCACCCCCGCCCTCACGATATTGATCCTCGGTCTCTTAGAAGTCGGCCGGCCCTGCCGTTCTTCCACCTGGCTTGATGATCTTGGTGAGCCGGAAGCACTCCGGTCTGCCTTGTCGGCACGGTCCTTCTGTGGACGCAATTCAGGGTGTTTCTTCTAACACTTCGCGGGCATATGACCTCGCTTCTTGCAATGGGAGCATTTTTGTGTGTTGTTTTGGATCGTATTAATCGATGGTCCTGGTCCCCCTTGTGGTGGCGTGGGAGAGTCCTTCCCCCGCACCGTCTGTTCAGCATTGGCCAGACGGTTTCCGACCGTGGTCGGATTGACCAGATCCTTGTCATTCTGGATAGCATCCACAATCAGGATGTACTCCGGTCCGATCTGCGTCAACAAGATCGCAATGTGTGCTCGATCGCCAATGGATCCTGGGGTGATGGCGTTCAATCGATGAACCAACAGTCGCACGCGGTCAACAAATTCACGCGCGCTGGCGCAACTATCGCCTGACGTTTCGCGGAGCTGGGCAAACAGTTCGCAATACGTGGCGAGTTCCATGCGCCGGTACCGTTCTTCGAGTTCATTCCACAGGTCGCGGGATGTCTCCAGCCCCGCGACGTGGATGCTGATATTGGGAGATAGATACCGGAAAATGATATGGTAGGCCTCGGCTTCGCGCCTCGACCATTCCTTATGACGGTCGAAAGCTTGGACCTCCACTTCGACGTGGGCTTCGATGGCTCTCTGCCGCACCGCCCCATTAAGGTGGGGCTCCACGAGCGGAGTGATATCCGCCGTGATTGGCTTGGCATACAGTAAGTCGATTTAGGGTATGTCCCCGATGCGTAGATACGTAATGCTTTTTTCTGAGCGTCAGATATGTCTTGTTGAGTTGTTTTGGGATGGGTAGGTTGGCAGCGCGGGTCCCCCTGATTGGCTAATTTACATGACTAAGCAAGAGAAAATTTGTGCCAGACAAAAGTTGTGCCAGATGGCGTTCTTATATATGGGAAAACCCAAAAAAGTGGGTCCATCTAGCAGATTTTGGTGCCTAATGAAAATGTGTGCCTTAACTGGGAGTGCCGAAAACGGGAGTTTACTGTATTTGAACTGGCAATCTGGACGCTGGAGGTCGCTCGACACCACGTCCCAGACCTGCCTGGCTTTCAAGTAGGAAGTCATGAGACGCTTCCAGGTAGCGTAGTTATCGCTTCCTGTCAGAGGCTCGATGGCTGTGACGGCTCGGTCGGGGGAGTCCTGGACGAGAGCCGACATGATGCTAAAGAAGCGGGGTAATATATATATAATCACGAATCAAAAGAGCTTAATGTGTCTCGGTGTGAGTAGAGACGGCACCCGACTGATTGCACTCGGGCTCATAACCTGTTGTAATGCAAAAAGGAAGCTTGATTCTTATCATTTCAGAGGGATACACAGAGGCCATATATACAGCACGAAGTCCAAGTTGATTTCCAATCAACTTGGAACTTCCTATGTATACATAGTGCAGGAATTATTTCCGATGTTGCGGCTTCATTTCTGAGCAGCAACAGCCTCAAATCACAACAATAAAAATTCTGGGTGGTTTGAGCCAGTGAGTTAAGGTCTCTTTCTGCCTCCAGAAAATTTGCAATGGAGAGCAAAAATTCACTAGGTAAAGGAGGCATTTTCACATCTCTTCTTGTGACCTTAAAAAAGCTGGATCTTGATCGCGAAGAGAATCGGGGATTCGGGGAAGCCGTGTTCTCAAGGATATTTTAGGGAATTCTGAGCTTATTGGAATCGTCGACTCAGCCATTAGGGGGATAGAGATTCCTGTGCAGATTAATAATGATCGGAGAAGACTAGCCCTCCTCTTTTCGAAGGGCTCGTAAAATAAGGTTTCTGGAAGTCAGCTTTATCGTCGTCTCGTTAGTGGCGCGTGACCCAAGCTTGTACATTGATACGGCAAAAAGTTTGGACACCCCTGTCGCTACCGCCTTCCTTAAGTAGCTATGCCACCCGGTCTCCGCGGTCTTGGATTAGTGGAAGCCTGACTGGCAGAATTGGGGATGTCCAAATTTTTGCTGTCACTGTATCTTTCATACTCTTTCATACTAATATTGAATGTCCGGTATTAGCTATTACCCTATATATACAAAACAGGTAAGTTACTCGATGCCCTGAAACGAACGAAGTGAGAGGAAGGGGAAACGTACTGCACGTGACGGAATCTGAACCTTATTTTCGTGAATGCCCTGAAACGAACGAAGTGAGAGAAAGGGAAAACGACCCGCACGTGACGAGAAACTATAAGTTCCGCGACTCAACAGACTTGCCAAAAGTCCATACAAATTTGTGGCGATTTTCGTCCAAAATCGCGGTGATTGGCTCGCTGTGCTTCGTGTCATTGGTGGTCTCTCGTTCGATGTCATTGGAGGCTATTCTTACATTTTGGTATTGGACGCAGCTCTTACCGGAAACGACCTGAGTTTGTAGTTCTTTTTATTCTGATGCAATCCGCTGTTTTTGGCTGGACTCGGAGCTCGTGTTTTGGGCTACCTGGATTCCAAAAACGCCTATCGGCTTCTGCTGTTGTCTTCCGCAACTTTAAATGCGCTATGGCCCGTGCTGCCACAACGCCTCGATCTACCACTAGGCCCGATATATTCGACTCCTACCGCATGAGAGAATCTGATTGAGCAAGCTAAATCAGTAATGGCTAGTATTGCAATGAGTGGGGATTCTAGTGGAAGGGGAACCAATCAGTAGGATTGACAGATTGAATTGATTGATTGTAGATAAAATGAGTGGCAGGCAGAGGGTATGTTAAATACACACCTGCAGAGTTGGTCCATAGTTGATATGTGGATGGGACCAATTCCTCCGTGTCTTAGAGGATCCATGGGATACTCGAGAGTGACTTGAAAGTGTTGTCTCGGAACCCCGTAATTTACATACAAAACACAAAGAAAGGCGGGGGACGAAGGAAACTAATAGGAGGCAGCTGTAAGTAACTGCTCCACTATCCTCGACAAAACTACTCCCTTTGGTACGGCAGAATTCGTGGCAGAAAAGGGCGGTCACTCCGGGGGTCACAGACTTTTGCAATGGGGGCAGATAGAGCTGATCTGGTGGCTTGTAGAGAGGGTTGATGTTCTGGCCAGTCGGATATTCAGCCTAGATGTGCTCAAAAGTGGCGTGGGCTGAAAATGACTTGGAAAGGGGGGATGCTCGAGGGCCCAAAAAATACGTGCATACATTCACGCATCCACCAAGCAAATACCTCGGTTGCCATCCAGGTGGCCCACCAAAGACCCTCGAATTCCCTCCCACAGAGGCTTCCTTAATCTCAAATTATATTGTTAAAGCGGTCGAATAATCAGGATCTCTTGGAAAAGCGCAGAGTGCCACACCAGTGGGGGTAATGGTCTTCATCACATTGGCGATCACATGGCTTTTTTAAAAGGGGGCGTGTCACGTGATCAGACCTTCTGTCTGTAAGTTTTTCCGTGTCTTTTCCTTTTTCTCTTCAGACTCAGCCTCCGTCGATCTTCAGCACTCCAATCGATATCCTTTCTTTTTGAACTGGCTACCTGGTCATAACTGCGACAAAACCAACTACACACATTCCCTTAGCACGCTACCACGACGGGCACTGGCATAACGTACGCGATGAGCGCCAGCGACGATTATGGCGATTCCCCTCTTGATGAGGAAATCCGTCAATTCACCAATAACCTGGAAGGGATACGGAAGCGCAGACGGCTCGTAGAGCTGCAGACACAGATCGCGGAGGAGGGGAGATGGCTTCAAGAAGCACAGGAACGCCTTGACAACGCTCGACAAAGTGTGGCCCCCGATGCTTCTGGTTCGACCAGTCTCCAATCGCCTGTGGGCTCTAAATCACCTATTATCTCGAAGTCGCCAGTGTTCTCTATTGCTCCTGGCCAAGACACCAGCAGCGCTGTGGATGCCTTAATTAAATCTGTTCTGGATCCTATAGGCAATAATATGACGCCTGTCAATAGCTACACACCTACAACTCATCAAACGCGGATGGTCGACGGGGACTTTAAACCAGTGTCAACGGCTGAGGTGAGGTGGAAAAACGACGCCGCTCCTGGATCTGCCCCATCCGAATACTCTCCCTGCGCAGATGAGGAGAGTAACGAAGGAAAGGATATGGTTTTATCCGAGAACGGCCACGAAGCAGAGAAATTAACAGATGCAGTTCCTTCTCAGCGACGGCTAATCGCTCAACCCGTTCCGCCGCGGACGCATACCCAACCTACACCTGCGCCTCGAATTTCACCCACTCCGCCAAGTCCGCCAAGTCTTGCTTTTGGATCCTACCGGGGTAGAAGCTGGAAGGAGTGGGTACAATATGTCAACGCCTTGGAAGCCCATTTCGCCCGGTACCCCAGCTACTACACGGAGGCTCGCAAACTGGAGCTCGGGGCAAAATACATCGGGCACAACCTGATGAATCAGTGGCACGATCATATCATGAGGCCTGGAAATACGTCATGGAACTCGTACTGCACGTTCCTAGCTCAACAGCTCTCACGCCGGGCGAGTCGTGAGCAAGCGAATTTTGGAATTACAACCGCTGAACAGAAAATTGCTCAACCTGTAACGCATTTTGCCTTCTGGCTAATTCAGTGGGCCCCTGTCCTTCCCGAAGTCAGCATTAAGGAGTTTATGGTCTATTTGCTGAGAGGGGTCCTCCCCGAAATTCGTGACCTTGCCAAAAAGTCATACACGCAGTTTTCGGATTATGCTTTGTTTACTGCGTATCTGCAGGAAGTTGAAAACTCGATCCCGGCCCGAGCGAAAGTTGTCGGACGTCGGAAGAACAGTACCGTCTCAAATGACGGGCATTTCCTCTCAATGGATAAAGATGAACGCAAACCCAAAAATATTCTGCCATCACAGCCGCCAACACAGCCTGTGCAGCGAGCCAGGGCTTTGCCTCCAACAGAGCCGCGCAGTCAACTCGAATGTCCACTGTCACCAGAAGCACCTCCTCGGGACTTGCCGTTCTACTCGGCACGCAGCTGGTGGCAATGTAAAACCTTCATATCCAAATTGCAAGACCACTTCCAAAAGTACGAAGACCAATGCAAGGACTCTCGCAAGATCGAGATCGCCAGGGCCAATCTCTCGCGTGCATTGCTTGAAAAATGGGACGAGTATGCCGCCCGCCTTAAAACGGTTACCTGGTTCGCATTCTGCGTTTTCCTTGTCGACCAAGTTCCTTCTGAAGGGGCTGGAAACTTCAAGTATTCCAACACTTACCAAAGATCCAACCAGTCCGTGTACACCTTTGCGCTCGAGCTACTTCGTTGGACCCCGGACAACTTCGGTGTGAAGCACAACCGCCTGTGGCATCTATGGGACCGAATCCTCCCTGAACTCCGATCAAGGGCCCACAAAACCTGGAAGGACTTTGACGAGTTCCATATCTTTGTTGCTTATTTGCAGCAGGTCCAGGACTCGTTTTCAATCCGGTAACAGGGAGCAGATCATAGCTACCTCCCCCACGAAAGCGTTTTCGTGTCGATGGGGGCACTGGAGCACGAAACCTTGGATTCCTCCTCTATTGAAGGAGACTCGAGACTCGTACGGAGTTGAGGATTGCACAGTAGCCTTGTGAGCGGTGTTCTACATTCTTATTTCCTCTATGTAAATATAGATAGGCAGGGCATAACTAAGCGTTGATTGTTTGTTATGAAATCCAAATCAGATTCCATTCCGTTTCATTTCTACCTACCATGTTGTAGCGGAATCCTGCCCAAGCTCAGGGTGCCGTTCCTTACACCTTCTCGTGGTAGATCTTGACTTCTTCATAGACGTCGTAGGTGCGATCATCCACGGGCGGAGTAGTAGAAAGCGAAGGCAGACGTGCTCGTTCTGGCAGCGCTCGCTACTGTTGAGGAAGTGTCTACACAAGTTGTCCAAGTGTCTCAAGAAATACAAGCTAGACGGATGGCCCCCGGAGCTTATGACCCCAGCTCCACGGTTAAACAACTTCGAAGTAACATATTCGCCCTCTCAGGGAAGCCAGGTGTAATGGAGTTTCTCTTCTGTGATACGCTTGAAAATCAACAGTTGTCAAGGACAAGTTTGAGGTTATACTCATAATCCTGACCAACGGCTGTATGAAGAGCGATGTCTTCTCGGTTGTCCGTTTCAGTCAATTCCACACCATTCTCAACAAGAAGCTCCACTATCGGGAAATGAACTCGTGGAGGTTCACTTTAAGTGCACAATGCAGAGGGGGTCTCAAAGAAAATTGAATTGATCGAGTTGTTCTTGCCTTGTTGCATTGACATTCGCTCCGTAATTAAGCAAGACCTCCGCCAAGGCGACATGACCCTTCTCCACAGCCATATGCAATGGGGTCTCCCCAGAACTGGTACGTATGTTTGCATCAGCTCCGTAGTCAAGAAGAAGTTTAGCTATGGCCGGTGTCATTGCAAGATGTAAAACATCTCCAAAATCTTCATCGAACTCCTACCTGAGAGGAAGGAGAATTTCACAATGCTTGATCGCTGCACCCTGCGAAAGCAATAACTTCACTCCTCCTTCGTTTTCACGGTGAACACACCATGGAAGAGCTGAACTCGAAGAATTAACAATATTGTGTTTATAAATATGCGAAAGCAGCAGCCAGTAGAATCTTTTGTTTGTCCTCAGCAAAGAGAAAATATCCCTCTCTGTTTTCAGTCTCTCGCTAATTATTAAGATGACTTCGTTTGGTAGGCTCGATAGAGACATCTCAAAAGATTTCAAGTGTCACGGCAATCGAGTTATAATCAAGTGGGGAGAGAGCTACTGGGGAAAATTGACGCCATTGTATGTGCCGAGTTACAAGTCACAATTTATCGTCAGGAGTCGGCTTTCGGCCGAGTTGGTGACGTCTTGGAGCCCAAGCTCGGTTGTGGGCTAAGCAAATGACGGCAAGTATTTATGTATGGAGAAACTGGCCCGCCGATGCCCCGCGGGCTACCAGCTTCTCGCACTCCAAAATGAAGCATGGAGTAACAATAGGCCAATCAAGTCTTCGCACGTCGCAACGAGGCAAGCTATCACAAGACCATCTGCCCTTGTTGATCGAGCCATCGTGCAGGGGAGCCAAGTCCGCGGCACGGATCGCGGGACGGGTCACGGAATCCCCATTGCGATCCAGCGACTTACCTTGACAAGCACCTTCGGATTCGTCGCACAATGGCTGGGGATCGGGGGAATTCCATTTGATTTTACAAGCGCGTACAAGGCGAGGCCAGCGGGTTCAGAGCCAAGGAAGAGAAAAAAGCAGCAGAAGCCAAAGGCGTTAGAAAACGTGGTGAGGGGTCTCCCTCCGACCACACCACTAATGCAACTACCACCAACCACACGGCCGGAGGGAGAATATGCAAAGGAGGTAAATGCCCTGAGCACCAGGAGATCTACGCCGACTGGCCAACACGGGATGCCGATTGAACGATCACTCAATGCATGAAGGTCTGCAGGTGTTGTGTCAAGGACTCCACATGAGGGAAAGGTGGAGGTTGTTTGCTCCTGTTCACAAGTTGCTGGTTGAATCTTGGCGAAGGTTCCTCGTCATTATGGATTCTCTGCTATTCTGACTGTCTTTTCTATGTCCGATCTGTCACAGTATCCTCAGGTGCATTGACCGGAGTGCCAAGGAGAGTGTTTGGAACAAGGGACCATCATCCTCGCAATGACCGGTCGCAGGTCATGGATCTCGGGTACGAGGGTTCATCTGTCCGCGAAGTGGCCCTTATCAGGCCATTATGAGATATCTTTGTGCCCTTCGTAGATCGCTGACGGCGCTGTCAATGAGACTAATCGGGATGTATAATGTTGGTAAAAGTCAGGAATAAAGGCGTAGCTTCCTAAGTTCGTGGGACATACGCAGGTGGAGGCTCACAATACGAAGACAAAGAAATCGCATCCACATTCGCACAGCGTCAATTTGACGTAGTGATTTGAGGCTGTTGCAGATTAGGAATCAAGTCGCATCAGAATAAATTCGAGAAATACCTATGTGAAGCGTGAAGGTGCTTGGAAATCAACATGATACTCTCAATTCATAATTAGCTTCAACCTTCAACTGACCCTTCGACATCATACAAATCATACTTTGTTTAACGAATTACCACAGTTATCCATCAAAGAAAGGAGACCGGTGTATACTCATCACTAATTCAGCACTAATTGAAATATGTTGTGATACAAGACAAGAGCGCATCAGGAACAAGTGGGGCGCTGCCGACTGGAAAAGGCCTGCAAAGATCAACGTTGAACCGTTGAACCGTTGTCCTTGCACCATCAACAGTGAACGTCCAATCTTTATAGTCCATGAATGGTGCTATACCTATGAAAAATTTTCCCACCATTTTGCCTCCAGCCGATGGTAGCGCTGTTAACTATGCAAATTTCATAGGGATTTGGGAAACTGCATCCAGCCTTGAAGGAAACCCTCCGTTTTTGCTGCCAGTTGAGGTGATTCAACAGTCGTTGAAGTACGCTTTTTAGGGTTTGCGGCTAACCTCACGAATCGCCCCACTTGGAACCGTGGCATGCGTGAATCTATGCGGAGCGACCCCTTAGAACCGCAATTTGGTAAAAGCCTCATACACTGAAGATGTGTACGGTAAATCGCCTTCAATAATCGTTGGAATAGGCGCTGAACAGTACGTTTGAAAACACAAATTGAGATTAAGGAAGGCTTGGTGGGAGGGAATCCTAGGGTCTTTTGGTGGGCCATCTGGATGGCTACCCTGGTATTTACTTGGTGGACGTGAGAATGTGTGCGTGTTTTTTGAGGTCTTGGCATTCCTCCTCCCCCAAAATGTCCCGTCTTTGCTATTTTTCAACACCTCTTGGCCGATTGGCCTGGCCACTAGAAGATTTAGTCTGCGAATGGTCTACAAGACCAGATCTTCCACAGTTCTCACAGTAGAGGACGGGATTGCTAACTGCCGAAGAGTGCAAGGCAATTTCGAAAATGAGAATAATCAGGCGGCAGATGCGCCAAGAAGATTTCGAGACTTGGTCAGGACATGACTTTGAATTAGACACATCTGCGCGAAATCTGGGTGCTTCCCAAGGTGGAAATGAAAGGGTAGGTTCAGACATGGTTTTGAAGAATCTAAACGCTATCTAATTCAGTGCGTATAGAATGCCCTGATAATTCGGTCGATTTCTTCAAGGAAAAACTTGGCTAGTACGTAAGAGCAAAACCTCGGGCAATACGACTGCCTTCAACCAAACGTTTGACCAGGAGTACTCTACGAACTATATTCTCTTATTAGGATGCCCAGGTATCGGGCTCTATTTCAAGCATGTCATTCTTCAACCAATAACACCGCACCTGGGTAATTGAAGGTTCTCACAAATGCCCCCACGATTCTCAGACGGGCGGGTATTGCGTAGCCATTTTGCTGTGTGTCATAAGAGGGCATTCTGTAGACAAATGGCGCTAGTGACTGTTTCCATCACTATTGTGTTGATGGCTGAAAATTGAAGGTAAACGTTTATGGTGAACGTTGGTAATTAATTCAGCGGGAACTACGTTGACATTTCCACTGTCCAGCCATGCTGGAAGAGGCTTTGAAAGAGACTGGACGCTTCGTATAAGAGTGAAAAGCTGAGTGTCTCATAAAATAATTTGATTTAGAGATTTGACTCTCTGAATAGCCTAATTGAAAATTTTTCGGATCCATGGAACGCTCACTTTGCGCGATTTCTTCATCCTGTCTTTTGCCGGAAAGGTTCACCGCAGAAACTTCTTTCGTAGGAGGGGACAAGTTACCAGTACAGTCTCAATTAGTAGACGAAAATGGTATACCACTGTTATCACCTTTGTGGTTTGTAAGTGAGATGTTGATGGGCGGTGCTGAGAGCAGTGCCGGCATTTGTGACGAAGATTTTATGTTGATGGGTGGAAGTTTCCTAGGTAGGATTCATACGCAGAGCATTGTTCACTGGCGACGGCCCACCGTTAACATTTGCCAATCTGCCCAGTTGACAACGCTCCACTTTAACTAAAATCCCCACCATCGACCATTTTCCAGGAATGTACTGTAACACTGCTTGGGTCGGTGGCAACCAAGAAATGTTCCTTCCTACACTTTTCCATGCAGCAGACAGATTTTCCCCTTCAATCTAATCTTAACAGTCCTATTTTTTGACCCCTCTTCATCGTCAACCGAGTCAAAAAAATTGTTGACAATGACACAGCATGATAAGAGATCCTCTGAATATCGCTGCAGAAAACTTTTGAGGGATTACAAAAAATGGTGTGATGGCTTGGAGGGAGAGACCTGCGCCTCAGCAAATACGGACTCCTCGAGAACTACAAGCTCGTCTCACACGAAGCTACCGACAGAACACGGTCGCGCACTGCCTCCAGCTGCGAAGCCTGAGAGCAGACGCAATCGTAGGGTTAGAGTTGACCTCACTGAAGGAAGAAAGTCACCAGAGCCAATTCAATTCAGTATAAA